CATGATTTGTGTTAATCTATTATTAATCTTGTTATTTTTTTAATATTGATTTTCTATTCTAATGTTTATGAATTTTTGATTGGTGGAGGAGACCTGGTAGTAAAGTTTTCAGTATCGTTCAAATTGACATATACGAAAGATGATGAACATGTGTGATCATATGAATATAAATTCACATATAAGAACATTCGTACAACCATATAAAGACAACTCGACATATATGAATCATTGTGTCAATTACGAACACAAATTGACATATATGAACACTTGTGTCAATTACGAGAACAGATTGACCTATGTGTACAGTTGGAATAAATATTAACACATATTGACCCAACTGAACATACGAAAGATGATAAACATGTGTGACCATATGAACATTAATTCACATATATGAACATTCGCACAACCATATGAACACAACTCAACATATATAATCCCTTGTATCAATTACGAACACAAATTGACATATATGAACCCTTGTGTCAATTATGAACACAGATTGACATATATGTACTGTAGGTATAAATATGAACACATATTGACAAAAAATGATGATGAACATGTGTGACCATATGAACAAAAACTCACATATGAGAACATTCGTACAACCATATAAACACAACTCGACATATATGAACCATTGTGTCAATTATGAAAACAGATTGACCGATATGTACAGTTGGTATAAATATGAACCCATATTGACCCAAATGAACATAAGAAAGATGAGGAACATGTGTGACTATTTAAACATAAATTCACATACATGAACATTCGTACAACCATATGAACACAACTCTACATATATGAACCATTGTGTCAATTATGAACACAAATTGACATATATGAACCCTTGTGTCAATTACAACCACAGATTGACATATATGTACAGTTGATATAAATATGAACACATATTGAAACAAATGAACATACGAAAAATGATGAAAATGTGTGACCATATGAACACAAATTCACATATATGAACATTCGTACAACCATATGAACATAACTCGACATATATGAACCCTTGTGTCAATTACGAACACAAATTGACATATATGAACCCTTGTGTCAAATACAAACACAAATTGACTTATATGCACACTTGTGTCATTTATGCCTTTTTTTCATATACACCCCTGTTCACACATGAACAATTCCCATAAATGTCGAATACTTGTTCACATATGAACCATTAACAAAAAAAACTCTAGAAGAATTTGGTGTTGGGGATCTTGCTGTTGATTTTGATTCAGTGACGAGATTAATTCCCGGATAGTTACATTGTTATTAATGGACAGTTACAAAACATCTCATTGTCATTAATGGACGGTTACAAAACATCTCATTGTCATTAATGGACAACTAAAATCTTTTTCCAAAATACCACTTGTAAATATTGTTCACTTGTGTTACCTTGTCATTAATGATCTTAGCCACAAATTTTAAAGATCAATGGTCAAGATTGGTTAACAAAGTTAACACAATAATTTGGGTTAACAAATGAACTTGCCCCTATATGTGTGTGTGTGTGTGTATATATATATATATATATATGGGCTTGTTCAAATGTTAACCAAGTTTATTGTGTTAACTTTGTTAACCAATATTGACCATTGATTCTTACAATAAACGGTTGTGGTTAATCATATTAAAAATTTAATTTATTAAATTTACAATTTCACAAACATATGTGAACTAAGTGGAAAAGGGTATTTATGTAAAATATCATGTGCTTTTGATACCATTAGTTACCAAAACAATAAATACTGTTACCAAAGTGTCTTGAAGCATCTCGGAACAGGTATAAACACAACATGAACAGTTATGAACACAATAAGAATAGCTGCTACACGAAAGTTAAGAAATAAATAAAAATAGTTATGAACACAATATGAACAGCTCGTGAACAATAGTTACTTCATTATGAACACATTCAAGAGCCAGCCGCTGTTGAGAAATGCAACTAGTCTACATATGAACACAATATGAACAACTTGTGAACAATAGTTCTTTCATTATAAACACAAATCGACATATACGAAATCTTTCAATAAGTTATGAACACATGTGAAACCTGTGTCAATTATATGACCATATGCAAGATGATGAACGACCCATTTAAACAAGTACGAACACATATGGTCTTATCGAGAGAGGTCTAGAACATATATGATCACAACATGAACATATACATTTATACACATTTTGATGTTCACATAATTGGATATTCAATAATAAGTTAACAAAAATCATTGGATTTTATTATTTTGTAACTCCCAATTGATGATATGGGAGTTACATAAAAAAGAAAATTACATATTTACCCTTGTCATTAAATTCTAAGATGGATAGGAACATATATATAAAATGGATTGTCATTAGTTGAAAATGGTTGACAAAGTTAACAAAATAAACTTGGTTAACATTTGAACCAAGCTCTCTCTCTCTTTCTCTCTCTCTCTCTCTATATATATATATTTATATAGGGGTCTAATTAAAAGAGAACTGATTAGTTTGTGGTAACTGTGAAATCCAATCTCAACCAATCATTTTATTATATTAATTGTATTATCTTAAATAAGAAAAAGGGTGTATTAGTAATTTTAAAAAATTGACAACTTATTAACTCATTCTAAAACCCTAGTCCGAGATCCCTGTTGCTGCCCTCTTACTCCCGCCGCCCTCAACTCCAATCTCCGGCGTCGGAGATGATTACGCTAATAATTCCTTCAATTACGCTGATAATTCCTTCAATTACGCCGCACCACCACCACCACCACCATCTGCGTCGCACAAAAACTAAACGATCACAGCCCGTCGGCTATCCCTCAATGATCGATTCGCTTCTCTTTACCAAACCCTAAATGACCGGTTCGCGTCTCTTTACCAAACCCTAATTGACCGGTTCGCTTCCAAACAACATGCCTTCACAGACATATAAGATGAAGGCGACGAGGTAGTTTGCGACGAGGAAGACGACAACGGGAGGAAGACATCGACGATAAGGAAGACGGCGACACTGGATATGTGTATAATAATTGGGGTGCAGCATATCTTGTTGAGGTTGCCACTAATCTCATCTTCGAGGACAAGATTTCCATCATCCAAAAGTTGTGCCACCGGATTACTTGTATTTATGGCTAGTTTAGAAGATCGAGATGACCAAATTAAGGTAAGGTGCAAGAATCGGTGCCGTATTTGGAAGATGCAACTGAAAAATTGAAGGAAAATTTTGTGAATTGTATCAAATCACAGTGTATCACAGTGTATCAGGTAGTCTTATTTTATGAACTGTATCAGAATATGCAATTTCATTATTTTCCTTGTTTTATCAAAATGTATCACAATGGATTTGATTATGTTTTTATGGTTTGAGTTGGTATCATAGTTGGTATCACAATGGTATCACAGTATATCACAATGAGTATCAAATTGTATATCTTTGTGATTACTTGGTACCTGTCAGAATAATGTTGGCCGAAGACCAGAGGCTGGAGTTTGGAGGTCGGAGAGAGGAGAGATGAGTTTTTTAAAAATACCTAAAATGCCCTCTAATTATAATTTTAACTCAAACTACCAAAATTACTAATTTTCTTATTTATCCGTTGATTTGTGGTTGAGATTGGATCTCACAGTTACCACAAACTAATCAGTTCTCCCTTGAATGAGCCTATATATATATAGAGAGAGAGTGAGAGAGAGAGAGAGAGACTTGGGATCACGTGAGAACAGCTTGTTTTCGTAAGACTCGTGAGACCACATTTTTGCACTTGAAACTTCACATCAAAGCGCTGTGAAGTAACTTTCACAGTGTTTTCGCTGTAAAGGTTCGTTTTTTTTTTTATCTTCACAACGTTTGGCTTTGAAGTTTCAAGTGTAAAAAAACGGTCTCACGGGTCTCACGAAAACAAGCTGGTCTCACGTGAACCCAACTGTCTCTCTCTCTCTATATATATATATATATATATATTAAATATACATAAAAGAAACATGGCCTACACCACACGATTTAGGATCACTTAGATTTGCCAAATCAAAATGATCATCTGTTTAAGATGAAAATGACTAGTTATAACCCAATTTCGGGTCTCGACTTCTGAACTAGTTGCTATAGAATCCATCGATGATCGATCCTTGTACATCTTTAATTGGATGGTTGAAGAAAAAGTAAAACAAATTTGCATTACATGTTGACTTTCCTTTTTTTGATTAGATTCCATATTTAGAGTGGTCCACATCTGGCATACAATCCACCAAAAATGGCAATGGATCTTGTTTCTGCTTTTTTACAACTTGCCTCATTGGGAATAGTAATTGACAAAAATACCCATATTGGATGGATGGCCCCACATAACACAACATAAATAAATCTCTTTCCAAAATTATCATGTGGGCATCTATTAAATTTAATTTTTAACGTATTTAATGTATATAAATTTAACATATTATATGCATTTTTTTTTCATTTTTTAATACGAAATGCCAAATAAAAAATAATTTGAATAAATAATTTTTTAATATTTTATGTTTATAACATAATTTTAATATAAAATTTCGTTTTTATTTATTGAAAAAAAAAAATAACATAAGAAATAAGGTTTCATGTGTTCATTGAATATGCCATCATGTGGGCTTTTGTAGTCCTTAAGTGGAGCATCTTGTTTCTCTACCGCAATCAAAGGAACAAACCACACTTGGGAGTTGGGTTGGGTGTCATCAAAACTTTAATGTTTAGAAGAAATTTGTTCTTTTATATATTTGTCAACTATATTTATGGCTTTATATTTATCTATATTACATTAATAATCATTTGCACCAAAATCTTAATTACAATTCTTAAAAAGCATAAATTATTACCATTGTATATTACATATTATTATGCATAATGTACAAGTTTTTTTTGCGAACACCAAATTCTAATTAAGTCAAACCTGTTTTCTCTTATCAAACTTCTAAAATTACCACAATGGGTCGCTTTCTTCTTCTTCTGTATTCAATCTCTGCGATCCATTTTACCACAGACCTCGTTATGTATCACAAGCAAGAATACATGGAAGGAGGCTAGAGAAGATCGTCCCTTTACATGAGAGAGGGCGATTCAAGTCTGGAGGAGCCATTTATGCTTTCCCATGGTTTAATCTCTGTCAGATGAGTTTCCCGCTTATGCTTCTCCTAAAATCTCTCCCAGATATTCAAATTCCCCGCTCCCTCTCATTGTAAATGGTATTAAATTTCTTTTCATATCTGAAATCTTCAAATTCATGGTCACTTTTATCGTAGAATTTTGTGTGTGTTGTTTCAAATTTTAAAAATCTCCAATCTAGGGTTTCTTTCTGCAAAAGAAAAAAAAATGGACATTAAATGGGTTGAGATTTTGGATGAAGACAGAAATTTCCACAAATGTTGGTTGGCTTCCCAAGATTCAACTTAAAGGTACATAAAAGATCCTATGTTTAGTTACTTCTATGGTATGCATGCTAGATGTTTATAAAAATGTCATAGTGAAAAATGTGTGATTTTTTATGCATTCGACATTTTATTGGTGTTCTCAATGGGATTATTTAACCAAGTTATCTTCCATGGAGGACTGAGTTGTATCGCTATGGTTGATGCTAGATCAAAGAAAGTTGAAATCTTTTTGTATGGATACAGGTATATTATTCATTAGTCATTAAACCAAATCTGAAATTTTGAGGATATGATGTATAACAACAAGAAGATTCAACTTGAGTATCTTGTGAAAGAAACCATGTATATGTTGCATGTTTATAAATCCATTCAACCTTTTGATTTTTGCAATTGGTTGGTAACATGTTTGTGCCATATTTTTTTTCCTTTATTCAGGTAGAGAAGGCAAATATATATACATCTTAAGGTCAAAGAGACCAGCAAAAACTAGGATACCTCAAAGGAAAATGTACAAGTTGTGGCTAGAAACAAGGAAGGGAAAACAATCTACAAGAATAGTTACCAAAAAACATAACACGAGTCTGAATATAACACCAACCAAAAAGGAAACATAAAGATAAAGAATACATAATACAGAAAGAAGATCTTTGCTTCAACAGTTAGCAAGTGGCTCACTACTAGTCCTACAACATAACCATATCCCCTTTGACCGATCAAACTATACCATTGGTCTTTTGGTCCTACAACACCAGCTTTAAATATTTTGTACTTCAAGCCATGACAAAAAGGTGGAAACTGCATGTATGATCTAGAGGACTTAATTATTTATGTTTGCAGTTATAAAGAGCTATGTTGCACTTTCAGAAGAATTATTATTTTTGCAGCTGTAAAAAATGCATTTTTGACCTTCCATAGCACTCTGATTCTCATGTTTATCTCTTATTTTATTGTGTTTATCATATATATATATATATATATATATATATAACCATTTTATGGCTCTTGCTGATCAATGACTTCTCTCCTATTTCCATGGCATTGATAAGTGATTGTGTTATCAGGTCTGATATCCCATCAGGATGTCAAGGAACTGAAAACAAATATGTTGATTATGTTGAATTAGAGAAAACCAAAGTTCTTTCAATGGTTCCAAATGGTGCGGGTAAATGCAAGTTGACAACAATTGAGGATCGTGTTGGCAAAATTAGAATAAGATCAGTGGCAGAAGGAAACCTTCAGTACTTAATTTATTGGATTGCAGAACTGATTAACTATAAATCTATGTGATCCTGCTGCTCTATTCTATCTCTTTCTATTTCTTTTCTATACATGGAAAGTTTCAAAATCATCATATCCTTTGTCGTTGGGTACAAGTTTATAGCAAAGATGAACTTGTACTATAGTAAAATATGAAACAACAAAAAGAATTTAAGATATAATTACATGAGGCAGAGGTTATGACATTCAAATCCTTGCACTTTTGCATATGGGAACACCAAATGGAGAGTGAGATCGTTTGATGATAAGGCCATTAATTAGTTCTCCTTTTAAAATTTTGCCATAGTCTGTGTAAATTTATTGGATCCTTTTATTTTCCTTTTCCTTTTCCTTTTTCTATTTTGTTCTTTTGGTGGGGGATTGAGCATGGTTTGACATTATGCCTAACTCATTATTCATGTTTCCTGTCAGACCTAGTGTTGAAATGGTAGAAGACAAACGAAGCTGTAAGGGATGTTGCAATTGGTTGAATTTTACCCCAGAAAATATATCTGTATGAACTCTTCTGTTGGTAAGTATGATAAAGATGTTTTGGGTCTTGTGTGATGGTAAGTTTGTGATGAAAAGACAATAAAAAAATGCCCCCTTCCTTGTATTCAAGCATGAGCTATGTATAAACCATCAAAACTAATAGTGTATGCCTTCAGAAATTCTTGAAGTAATGATAATTAATATGTACTTTTGTGATGTTTGATTCAGTTGCAATGAAATCTGTTTAAAAGAATTAAAGCAGCTTGAAGCAACTTACTGAGAAGAGAATGCATATTTAAAGACTAGTTGTGTACCCACGCAATGCGGCGGAACCCGTGAATTTTAACGATTTTGAAGTTTTATAGATTGCTTTATAGGACTCAAATTTATATCATCAAACAATTATGCGTCCTATGTAAATGTGTTACTATAAATTGACATAACATTTTTAACAACTTTTAGCAGGGGCAGACCTATGAAAATTCAAAGGCAACACAGCCCCGTGCACCCACTCAACCGATTATCCGAAGTAGTAATTTTGGTATGAAAGGTGCAAACGCTAAACTTTGAGGAGTACTTTGTGATATTATAAAATAAAAAGAATATCAACCAAAAAACTTGAAAAGTCACTTGAGATCAACCAAAAAACTTAAAAAATCCCTAGAAAGGTGGCATTCGGTTAAAAGGATATCAGGCAACTTTGCGGGGCTTTGATCCACCTTTAAGGTGCACTCGGTTGGCAAAAATGTCGGTCCGTTGCTGACTTTTAGTGCATGCAATTTTAAAATAAAGTGTTCTATTAGTCTTTTTATGTGATATTATTTGAAACAAAAGTATGTGTTCATAACACGCTTGTCAAAGTGTTCTATAAAAAACTAAAAGAGCCTGAAAAAACTTGTTAGTATGCCCAAATAGGCATGGCAACGGGGCGGGGATAGGGCGGGTTTTGTAATCCCCGGCCCCGGTCCCCGGCGGGTACGGGGATTATCATCTCGTCCCCGGTCAAATTCTAGCAATCCCCGGTCAAAACCCGGTAAACCCCGGTCAAAACCCGGTAAAAAGTATGCTTTAGTTTGATTATACCGGGGATCCCTGTAACGCCCAACCCACACATTGCATGTAATACATATATTTCGTATCAAAGAAATACATATTCATACACATCTGGTCCCATAGTACAAGAAACTATCATGACCAAATACAAGGTCCAAAAATTCAAAATACAATCTTGTACTAATCATCAAAACTGTGCATCAAAAGCAATTTTTCAACCAAAATGCATGTAAGAAAAACATTACATCTTTTCCTTTCCCTTACCTTCCACATGTCCTGCAATACATATTTAAAATCACAAAAACGAGGGTTAGATGTGATAACCAGATCCTGGTTATTACCAATGTTGTATTGAATTGGACGGATGAGATTGAATTGTATTGGTTGTACAAATGTAAATTGTTGCATAATAACTCATATATATATATATATATATATACACACATACTTATAATAAATAAGTAACTTGAGTGACACATGTCATCTTTTGGTGAGTCGGTTTTCTTGTTTTCCCGCCTAAACACGTATCCAGACACAATTGACATTAGTGGTTCAATTGAACTCATTTGAACGAATCTAGACACAATTTACGTTAACAGCTCAATTATACTTATTTGATTTACATGTGTCATCTTATTCAATCAATCCCACTAATTTAGAATGCAATTGATTTTATTATTGGGTTAATTAATTCGTGTGGTAACTGATTCCTGAAAAAAAAATAGTGTTTACTTCTAAGTTTAAATTCAATTTACTGATATAGTTTCATTTTTAAATTCAATTTTATTCTAGGGTTAACTTCATTTTATTCTAAATTCAATTTATTGAAAAGTTTTACTTCAGAGTTATTTCAAGAGAACAAGTATAAAGTCATTTTTTAGAGTTAACTCACCTAAACTCTGAAGTTTGTTTTTTCAGACATAGTTCACCCAAACTTTGGAGTCAGAACTCTGAAGTCTTCTTTTTCAGACTTCGAAGTCTAAACTCTGAAATATTTTTTTAGACTTAGAAAAAGAAGTCTGAACTCTGAAGTCTTCTACAATTTTGAAGAGTACAAGTCTGAATAGTCATTCTTTAGAGTTAACTCACCCAAATTCTAAAGTCTTCTTTTTCTGACTTAGCTCACCTGAAGTTTAAAGTCTGAAGTTTTTTTTGGACTTAGAAATCTGAACTCTGAAATCTTTTGTTTTCAGACTTAGAAGTCTGAACTCTGATTTAATAGGATTGATTTATACTTCAGAGTTATTTTAAGAGTACAAGTCTGAATAGTCATTCTTCATAGTTTTATTTCAGAGTTATTTCTAGAGTACAAGTCTGAGGAGTCATTCTTTAGAGTTAGCTCACCCGAACTCTGTAGTCTTCTTTTCCGGGAGGAGCACCATGCATAGCCTCTGCATAGTGCATACAGAGCTTCTGGCTTGCCTATATAGAGCTCTGAAGTCTGAAGAGTTTTACTTCAGAATAATTTCAAGAGTACAAGTCTTGTAATAAACTTATCTAGACTTTGAAGATAAGTCTTTAAGACTTAGACTTAGTCTTGTAAGCTAGAGCCCCTCTGGTTGGTCTGGCTTTTAGATGGCTTTGCTTCTGGTTGTTTATTTGAACATTGGAAAAATATTTCAATCTATCATAAAGGAACTAGAGGGCTCTGGTTGATCTTCATGTTTAACTAGAGGGTCTCTGGTTGTAATTGGAACTCAAATTATTTAAGTATTTAACATTTTTTGAGCCAGAGGCTCTGGTTGACCAGAGGGGCTCTGGTTTGACCAAAGGGCCTTTGGTTGGCCTTGCTTTTGGGTTGGCCTTGCTTTTGGTTGGTGAGTCCACATGGGCTCTACCAGAGGAGCTCTAGTTGGTCTTGCTCTGTATGATGCAAACTTTACCATGGAGTCTTTTTCAAAGATATTGGGTATTTGAATAACTCTGAACTCAAGTTCTTCAGATTAGATTTCCACATGCGCTCTTCTAAGTTTAAATTCAATTTACTGATATAGTTTCATTTCTAAATTCAATTTTATTCTAGGGTCAACTTTATTTTAACTAATTATTGATATAGTTTCATTTCTAAATTCAAGTCTAAAGAGTCATTCTTCAGAGTTATTCTTCAGAGTTATTTCAATAATACAAGTCTGAAGTCATTCTTTAGAGTTTTACTTCAGAGTTATTTCAAGAGTACAAGTCTGAAGTCATTCTTTAGAGTTATACTTCAGAGTTATTTTCAAGAGTACAAGTCTAAAGAGTCATTATAAAGAGTTAGCTCACCCGAACTTTGAAGTCCGTTTTTTCAGACTTAGCTCACCCGAACTCTGGATTCTGACCTCTCAAGTCTTTTTTACAGACTTAGAAGTCTGAACTCTGTAGTCTTTTCTTTACACCTAGGAAAAAAAGTTTGAAGCTTCTTTTTCAGATTTAGAAGTCTGAACTCTAAAGTCTTCTACAAGTCTGAAGAGTACAAGTCTGAAGAGTCATTCTTCAGAGTTAGCTCACCCGAATTCTGAAGTCTTCTTTTTCAGACTCAGCTCACCCGAACTCTGAAGTCTGAACTCTGAAGTCTTTTTTTCAGACTTAGAAGCCTAAACTCTGATTTAGTGGGATTGATTTTATATTTCAAGAGTATAAGTGTAAAGAGTTATTTTTCAGAGTTTTACTTTATAGTTATTTCCAGATTACAAGTCTGAAGAGTCATTTTTCAGAGTTAGTTCATCCAAACTCTGGAGTCTTCTTTTCCAGACGAGCACCATGCAGAGACTTTGCATAGTGCATGCAGAGGCTCTGCATAGTGCATGCAGAGGCTCTGCATAGTGCATGCAGAGCATCTGGCTTGCCTATATAGAGCTTTAAAGTCTGAAGAATTTTACTTCAGAGTTATTTCAAGAGTACAAGTCTGAAGAGTTATTCTAAATTTACTTGTAAGTTTAAATTCAATTTACTTATATAGTTTCATTTTTAAATTTAATTTTATTCTATAGTTAACTTCATTTTAACTAATTATTGATACAGTTTCATTTCTAAATTCAAGTTTGAAGAGTCATTTTTTGGAGTTATTTATTCAGAGTTATTTCAAGAGTACAAGTCTGAAGTAGCATCGTACTTTCGATAATCATTCATATCTGTAAGATAA